CACTCCAGAATGAACTTGGGGGCGTGGACCAGTTCTTTAAGATGTTGATAGGGAAGGCAGAGATAAAAGCCACCAAGTTGCCCCTAGAATATTCATAAATGTGTGTAGCCAGAGTCTGGGGGTGGAAGGGTCTTACTGAGAGGGCCTCTTACGGAGCCAGGGGTGGATTTCTCATGTGAGGCTCTCTTCTAAGCCACCATTAGGCACTGGACTTCCCTCCTTCGTCCCTTCCACTAAGGAACTGAACTCTTTTCCGCAGCCACAGGATCATGCTCTTCCTTTTTTCCTCACTGGGGACTAAGAGAGGAGAAGGGGCTCTTTTCTGTCTCTTATGCCTTCTCCACACTGTAGTTGGAAAGAATGGGGAGTGAGAGTGTTAGATGTGTCTAACACTCATTGTAATAAACTGTGCTTGCTGTACTTTTACCTCATACAAAATTCCCCAGTCCAGATTAGCCCAGATTTGTTGACTTTGAGGGCATACTGCAGAGTTCATTTGTTTCACCTGGCCTTTGAGGAGAAGTAGAGGGAATGAGGACAGACTACATACAGAACTGCTAGTATGTATTTGTGTTGCTGTTTGGCAGAAGTATGAGATGCTTGCAATGTATTATGGTTTTGTAATTGTAAATAGTTGGGAGATCACTCAGAGCCACGGGCACCTTTTAATTTCTTCTAAGTCAAAATGAAATAAAATCCATAAAAATAAACCTATCATCCTCCACTTTGTTTGTTTCACTCTCCTATTGTATTTTGTTGTAACCTACATTGTAAACTCTTTGGGGCAGGGACTGTCTTTTTAGTAAGCATTTCTACAGTGCCTAAAGCAACAGAGTCTCAATCTGTGATTGTGAACCTTAGGCTCTGCCCTAAAACACACACTAATAAGAAGAAGTAATAATATGCTAACATGCTTCTGGCTCAGGGCTGCTGCTGATAGCAGTAAAAGGAACTGCAACAGAAACTTGGGAAGATTACAAACAACTCAGTAAAGTAGGGTTTGCTTCCAAATTTCACACCTGTGATGTTCGAGTGGGTTAGAATTAGCTGTAATAGGGGATTTATCCTCGCTGCTAGAAAACTCTGTTTCAGCATGTTAACTTTCACAACTGCTTACACACACCCCCCTGAAAAATGCCATGTTCTGTTGTCAAAACTTTCAGAGTTTATTTTTCCATAGTCTTTGTGATGGCATAGAATAGCAGTAGAGTTCTGCTCATATTCGGGAATATTCACAAGATCATTTTATGTTTTGGCAATTGCCTGGTGCAGATTGTGTTTTGATTGTCTTTCCAGAAACTGCAGCTGATGTGCACGGTGAAATTTAAGGTCATACCATTAGTCACAGCAGTTCCGGTTAAACAAATCTGCTATTCACATTGACATTTTTTCCCCTTTTCATGAAGAACAAATAAGGCAAACTGCTGAAGAGGAGTGATGACAGTTACTGCCAACAACAAAGAATGATAGTGAGCTGGCTACTCTAATAGAACTAGATCATTATCATTTTACAGAAAAATGGCTGAAGAAAACAGAAGTGGAGTTCTTTTACAATAGTTTGTTTAAAACTGTTGTCCTTTTGTAAAATTAATAAGAAATGTAATACCTCAGATCTTAGTACATTACTCCAGTGACACCTATTTGTGCCACTTTAATTAGAAATCTATCGATAATCATACTGTACAATACATGCAAAAATGCCCAGAGCAAAAATGTAAAATATTACTATAATAGTATAATTTTGAAAACTCCTAACTTTTTCATTTAAAATAGAGGATTACAGGGAAAACAGAATTCACTAGAGGTTACTAGCTGTAATTGGTACACCAGCAATGCATAATTATAGTTTGAAACTCAGTAGATTTGCCTGCCTAGTGTCTTAGCAGCAGAGTGTCAGGCACTCTGATAAGTAGAATCCCAGCATTCTGGTATGTTCACATCATACACACAGAGAAACTAGGGAAAAAATATTCTAAATACTCTTGTTATGTTGCTAGAAGGTTGCACTGTAACACTACTTTATTTCCTAGAATTCAAAACAAGAACCCCAAAACAGGCTGCTCCCTAAGGCAGCAAGGCACAACTCACCTTACCTTGCTTACAACTGTTTTTTTTCCAGACTGATTCATCTCTTGTGTTTCCAACCTCAAAACTTGTGTTTTCGCTGATCACATGTGAACAGTAGCCCAAAAATTACCAAATGACAGTGTGCTTCAAAAAGCCCAATTTTTTGACATTTAAAAAGATATCACTGAGATTGGCAACACTGTCCAGTAGCTGCTGTTCACTCACATGTGGGCCTTTTCTTGGTTTATACAGTGCCCCTGCATCCCCATTGGCTGCTTCCCCACCCCATTTGATACATCCTATGGTCAACAAGAAGCCCCACTTTGGGGTGGCCTGCTCTGTTCCCAATAGCACATATGCCACTTGGCTTCTGCTGGCTAGTGGAGGCGGATTTGCTCCAGTTGCCTGTGGCTCAGTTGCTGCTCATTCAAAAGGCTATCCGATAACTGCAAACATAAGAATGGTCATACTGGGTCAGACCAAGGGTCCATCCAGCCCAGCATCCTCTCTGCAGACAGTGGCCAATGCCAGGTGCCCCAGAGGGAGTGAACCGAACAAGTAATGATCAAGTGATCTCTCTCCTGCCATCCATCTCCACCCTCTGACAAACAGAGTCTAGGGACCCATTCCTTACCCATCCTGGCTAATAGCCATTAATGAACTTAACCTCCATCAATTTATCTAGTTCTCTTTAAACCCTGTTATAGTCCTAACCTTCACAACCTCCTCAGGCAAGGAGTTCCACAGGTTGACTGTATGCTGTGTGAAGAAGAACTTCCTTTTTATTTGTTTTAAAGCTGCTGGCCATTAATTTCATTTGGTGGCCCCTAGTTCTCATATTATGGGAACAAGTAAATAACTTTTCCCTATTCACTTCCTCCACACCACTCATGATTTTATATACCGCTATCATATCCCCCCTTAGTCTCCTCTTTTCCAAGCTGAAAAGTCCTAGCCTCTTTAACCTCTCTTCATATGGGACCCGTTCCAAACCCCTAATGATTTTAGTTGCCCTTCTCTGAACCTTTTCTAATGCCGGTATATCTTTTTTGAGATGAGGAGACCACATCTGTACGCAGTATTCAAGATGTGGGCATGCCATGGATTTATATAAGGTCAATAAGATATTCTCCGTCTATTTTCTATCTCTTTTTAATTATTTCTAACATCCTGTTTGCTTTTTTGACTGCCGCTGCACACTGCATGAATGTCTTCAGAGAACTATCCACGATGACTCGAAGATCTCTTTTCTGATTAGTTGTAGCTAAATTA